AAGCTTTTTAGTTTGGTCATGGGATATTATCCTTTTATGATTCAATTTGGTTTGCTAATATTTTGTTGAGAATTTTTGCGCCTACATTCATTAGGGATATGGGCCTATAGTTTTGTTTTCTTGAAGTGTCCTTATCTGGCTTCGGTATCAGGGTAATGCTAGCCTTCTAAAAGGAGTTGGGCATATTCTCTCCTCAATTTTTTGGAACACTTTAAAAAGGATTGACATTAATTTTTTAAATGTTTGGTAGAATTCACCAGTGAAACCATCTGGTCCTGAGCTTTTCTAAAAGTTTAGAAAGTTTTTGATTACAAATTCACTCACCTTACTCACATTGATCGATGTGATTTTCTGTTTATTCTTGACTCAGTCTTGGTAGATTGTAGGTTTCTAGGAAGTTCTCCATTTCCTCTCAGTTATCCAATTTGTTGGCATAGAATTGCTCACAGTAACCTCTTCTGATCTTTTTATATCTGTGGTATCAGTTGTAATATCTCCTTTTCTATTTCTAATGTTATTTGACTCTTTTTTCTTAGTTTGTCTAGCTAACAGTTTGTCAATTTTATTATTATTTTTTCAAATAACCAGCTCTTAGTTTCATTCATCTTTTCTATTATTTTACTGGTCTTGTTTGAAGTAGCTTTACTGAGGTATAATTGACATACAACAAATTGCACATACTTGAATCATTCAATTTTATAAGTTCTAACCCATGAAAACATCACCACAGTCAAGATAATGAACATAGTCACCACCCTCAAAATTTTCCCTATACCCCTTTGTAATTTCTTTACCCCATATGTCCCCACTCCAATTCTTATCCTTAGGCAACCAATGGTCTGTGTTCTATCACTATCAGTTAGTTTAAATTTTCTGGGATTTTCTATTAATGGAATCATAGTATGTACTCTTTCGTTTGCCCACTTTCAGCATAATTACTTTGAGATTTATCATGTGGTATGTATCAATGGTTGATTCATTTTCATTGCTGGGGGGCTTTTCTGTTCTGATCTATGGTATTTCCTTCCTTCTGCTAACTTTGGGCTTAGTTTGTTCTTTTTGTATTTCCTGGAGGTATAAAGTTAGGTTGTTTGAGATCTTTGTTTTCTAAATATGAATTTATTGCTATAAACTGTCCCTCTTAGAATGCCTGCAGAATCCCATAGGTTTTTGTACATTGTGTTTCTATTTTGTTTTCAGGTATTTTTTTATTTCTTTTTTGATTTCTTCTTTGACCCATTGTTTGCTCAGTAGTGTGCAGTTTAGTTTCCCCATGCTTGTAAATTTTCCAGCTTTCCTCCAGTTATTGATTTCTGGTTTCCTATCATTGTAGTCAGAAAAGATACTTGGTTTAATATCCCCAGGGCCTGTATTTGTTTTTCCTACCATTTATGCCTTTAAGAAAGCCTCTTGTTGATTAGCACCCCAATCCCATTGGCTTCCCTTTTTAACCAAGACATATAAAGGTTTTAATATCTGTGCTAGCTGGGGACTGAAAGACCTCCAATAACCCAATAAACCAACAAAAGCTTATAATTCTTTTGCCATTGTAGGGATTGGGAAGGCTTGTATTTTATCAGTGACTGACTCTGGCATTACTTTTGTCTTACCTAACCATATGATCCTCAGACACATTACTGATTGACCTTACCCTTAGATCAGTGGGTAATTACCTTCCATCCTCCTGACTTGTAATGATGTGGCTGCTTGAGACAGGTAGGGTAAGTCATCACAATTTAACATAGCATCATCTATATAATGATAAAGCACCACTCCTCTAAAAATATCCATTTTTCCAAATATCTGGCTACCATCCTATGACAAATTGTGGGACTGTGGAGATACCCTTGGGGAAAGATCTGGAAGGTTCATGGTCTCCCATTCCACATGAAAGCAGATTGGTTTTGGGGTTCAAGTTTTAACAGAATGCTATAAAGCACATTAGATAGGTCCAGTACATAATGATGTGTCTTAATGGATGCTGTGATTTTTTTTCTAACAATAAGGCTATACGAGGCACCATAGCATGGATGGGCAGAGTAACTTCATTGAGTTCCCTGTAAGCTATTGTCATTGACCAGGTCCCATTAGATTTCTTTATAGGCCCAACCAGATTACTGAATGGGCTTTGAGCAGAACTACCCCAACCTTTTCTAATTCTTTAATGGTGGCAGTAATCTCATTATGCCCCTTAAGTAGCTTATATTGTTTTAGGTTTATGGCTTTCCAGGGAATGGCAGCGTATAGGTTCCCATTTTGCAGGACTCATGATGATGAATTTCACTATTTGGGTATACATCTGTCCTTGTAGTTAGATCCAGATCCTGTAATACCTCTCCACCCAAAATATACTCAGGAATGAGGGAAATATACACTAGAAAACAGCAGGGAGGAAACCTGCTCATCTGTAGGTAAAGACTAATTGGGCTGACCTTGATAACCTGTTCCCTATAACCATTAACGGCTTCATTTTCTCAGAATTTTGAGGAGTTTCCATAGATAAGTATGTATCCAACTCCAGCATCTATCAGAGCCAGCACAGGTTGCCTGCCAGTGGGAGACCAATAAATGGTCAACTCAACATGGGATCCCCCCCACAACACACACGCTAGACGGCAATGTTGGCCTAACCCCTAGTCTCTTGGGGTAAAGGGTATCCGCCCCTGAAATTCCCCCATTAGTGGAGGGGCACTTGGCAATGCACCTGGCTTTTTTGAGCCTTCTTTTAAGCGAATAAACTACTTTGCTGGATGTAGCACTTTCCACAGGTTTAGTAAGACCAAACGGGGTTGTCTATATTTTCTCTCTGGGTCTCAATAATACTAGATCTTGCCATAGTTGTTGACAAGAAACTTTGATGGGCCCCCCTTTCTGCCATGTTATCGTTGGCGGAATCCTTTGTTTCTCCCTATTTTTCAAACTGTTTCCCTGATGACGGATTCTTTCAGTTTCACCTAACTCCGCCACCATAGCAGCTACTCTAGCAATGGGCCGATTATCCCATAGGGGCAAGGACAGATGCTAAAATCCACCCCCATGCCCCAGGGCTGACTGTAAGATATGGTCTTTCCTACCGGAGGAAAATAATTCTTCGCCTGGGCTTCCAAAATGCTGGGCATAAATGGCATGTTTTAACTCCCAGTTTACATATCATTTCTTGTGGTTCTCCCATACAGGTCCAATGTAATACTGGGGGGAACATCCCCTTCACTAGGCCAGGTTATCTTAATGGTAGCATTTATCCAATCAATCAAATTAGCTAAGCATCTCGATTCTCACCCATGCCTGCAGCATCTAATCCTTGTTAAAGGCACGTTAAGCAGTGACTTGAGGCCATTTTTGACATCTCAAACCCATTTAACATAATATCATCTCCCCCAGGATCCCGCAGTCGTAACACCCAAGCAGCCACCCCTCTTGCCCTTTTGCTTAAAGCTGCTGGCTAGTCCCACTAATTCAGGAGCAGAATAGTCCCTCATAGTCATTTTCTCACTAGTGGGAACTTCTCTGTCATCCCCAGGCCCACAAATGGCCTGGGTCTTTGAATCAAAGGGTACGCCCCATACATCATTTTCCCCCTCTATGATAATGTCATCAGATGAGTCATTATCCCGGGGATCCTGTACTTTGGGTCTCAATTCTCTTGAGCTATAACAGTTCATACTTCAGTCTGTGAAAGTCTGTGCCCATGCCATCTTACACACCATTATTTCCAAGCATTCCTCTTGCTGTTGGATTCTTTTGGACATAATGCCCATATTAGAAGAACATGGGTTCCTATATCCTTTTCTAAAGCCATGCTTCTAAAGACACACTTCCCTGGTTTGTTCCAATTCTCTCCTTACTAGTAACTGCATTTCCGTGGTGTCTCATATGCACAGATTGACAGCCAAGCTACCACCACAGTAGCTTGGTCACTTTCCCTTCTCCATTTCCTTTCCCTGCTGTTTTGGGTAGGGTATCTAACAATCCCTTGGGTTGGTTTTTTGTTTGTTTGTTTGTTTGTTTGGCTGGGGGGTTGTAGGGTCATCCCTATATTCATTTACTGGTCTGAAATGCTCCAAAAACTTGGCAAGTCCTTCCACATTTCTCCCACAAACAAGGGGCTTTCCCCTTTGCCCATGCTTGTTTTGTTTTCAGTCTCCTGGCTGACTTGCCAATTGTTAGAAGGTGGAGGAGGGTCAGTAAAGTAAAGAGAAAGCACTTTGAGACTGAAAAACGAAGCAAGCCTCTCTATACCATTTACACAGAGTTTTATTCAGGGAAACTTACTGACAGTAGGGATCCCACAGAGGATGATCCACAGCAGACGCAGAAAAACTCCCCACCCAGGCTGGACCTTAATCCCCAGCTTTTATAGAGCAAGGGGTATGGTGGTGCTGCCACAGGGTAGTTAGCTAAAGTGGCGCCATCTGTGTGCACCAGCGATCTCTACTAGTTATCTAAAGTGGAGCCTTCTGTGTGCCACTTTAGAGAAGCTCAGGATCAGAACTAGCCTTCCCACATTCGGGTCAGGGTATACCTTAATCTCCTCGGGGCATGGAACACGTAGAGGAGGTCCCTGCGCAGGCGTGAGCAAGATGCATGGCCAAAGATGGAGTCAATGTTGTCAGCTATAGTTTCAAAGTTTAAAACCTGTTGAAACTGCACATTATCAGAGTGAGTGGCTTATCATCATGGAGCTGGGCTCCTTGACCTGAGTGGCTTATGTCATCATGGAGCTGGGCTACCTATTACAGCAAATTTTCAGTATAGATCAATGAGCCTTGGGGGAAACAAAATGCCCAGTAAGACATTTTCCAGTAAAGCCTCTAAAGAAGTTAGTTACACTCTTACTTGGTGAAGCGAATTTGTAAACTTAGCATAAAGTTACTTTGTGCTTAAGAACAGACTTACAAAAGGCTATGTAGCAGATGTTTTAAATAGAGAAGCTTCCTGACTAATTTAAAATATATTACTATCAATCAAATACAGTGAATAAATTTTTGAAACAATAAATATTAGTGCTTATATATGGTTTTAATATTTGCTGAATAAATCATTAAAACTGGGCGATTACATTTATTGACTATACACACTTCACTTATTATTTTAACAGTACTTCATAAAATTTTTGTTCCAGTTATGTATTTTAACTTGTGAAGATATTTTCCACAACTCTGATTACTATTTTAATACTTTATTAAACCATAAAAGTCTAAAGCAAAAAAAAAAAAAAATCCAAGAGCTTGTTTATATCTCTATTTGACAAAGCACAGAAACCCGATGATCTCAGATAACTTAATTACAATATCCTCCAACCCAATATTTAATGTAGGAAATTCATTGCTAAGATTCTCCTTGAACATAAAGGGGTATGTTACCATGTTACCATACCACATTCCCATGTTACCATACCACATTCTGTAGTATCTATAAAAGTAAAGGAAGTAAATAACAGCTCTTATTACAACATCTAGTTACTTAGCATGGCTTCTAGAATATAGAACTTTTTCTTTTTTAATTTTAATTAGCAGTAAGTTTATTTTCGGTCTTTTTAAAGAAGCTTTTTTTACTTTTTTTTTTTAAAGATTTTATTTATTTATTTGACAGAGAGAGAGACAGCGAGAGAGGAAACACAAGCAGGGGGAGCGGGAGAGGGAGAAGCAGGCTTCCTGCCGAGCAGGGAGCCCGATGTGGGGCTCGATCCCAGGACCCTGGGATCATGACTGAGCCGAAGGCAGACGCTTAACCGACTGAGCCACCCAGGTGCCCCGCTTTTTTTACTTTTATATCACAAAGTGAAGTTTAAATTATATTAGGAAGTACATTTGAACCTAGTGAGTTTAGTCTTTCTTCTTCACAAGCATTTAAATAAAAACTACAATAGAAACAAATTGGTTTAAGATCGTACTAGGGGAAAATGCACGCACATTTACTCCCTTGTGTTTATTAACCTTATCTAGAACTTTATGACATTTCTTTTCTAAAATGTATATAACAACTTTCATCATTCTTAAGTTGTATTATCAAATGATATTTGTGGTATAAAAATTCTTTTTTAAGACTCAAATTTGGTGGGCGCCTGGGTGGCTCAGATGGTTAAGCGTCTGCCTTCGGCTCAGGTCATGATCCCAGCATCCTGGGATCGAGTCCCGCGTCGGGCTCCCTGCTCCTTGGGAGCCTGCTTCTCCCTCTGCCTCTCTCTCTCTCTCTGTCTCTCATGAATAAAAAAAAAAAAAAATCTTTAAAAAAAAAAAAAGACTCAAATTTGGACATCTCTTGGTGTCTGAAAAATAATACTAGCTGCCCATATATAATTTTGTAAGGAATGACCATATTTCTGATCTTTCTTTTGTGGAGTCGAAGTATTCAGTAAGGCCTCAAAGTCTATATGGCCTATTATTGACTGCAGCCAAATCAACCTAGAGTTATATAGAACACAAAGCCTTTTGCTTTAGGAAAACAAAACAGTGCTTCCAGAACCTCTAACGGTGTGCAAAAGACAATCAGAAGTTGGAAGCTGGATAACAAGGCTTTAGTGTCCACTCATAGTGCTGAATCTTTGGGTAGGAAACCTCCTTGTCTGAGGCAGTCTTACACTTTTGTAGAGTTTGGAGGTTGGGGGTGGAAAGGGCAGGTTCATTTAACTCAGAAGTCTTTCCCAGAATGAAATGTGTCTGCTTTTAGTGAATATTAAACACTCAATATAAATATTGAACAAGTCTTGTGTTTCATAGCAAATTGCAAGCAATGTGCCCTCTAAATTGTAGTATAAAACACAAAACGAAATACAATACAAAAGGACCCTGGGATCATGACCTGACCTAAGTCCAATTTTTCACCCTTTTTCAACTCTTAGTTTTTCTCCAAAATCTTCCTTGATTATTCCTAACCTCACTAATCTCTTTTCTGGGTTTCCCAACAAGAGAAATGTGTCTATAATAACCAACAGGTATTTAAAAACTCTTACTCATTAACTACTTTAATTGAGTATTTCCTTCTCCCTATTGGAATACAAATGCTGAAAATAGTGAAGTATATGAGATTGTAAAATAAGCAACAACTAGATGGTAAATACTGGCTTAAGAACCAACAGGCAGGGAGTAAAGTAGAGCGGGATCCACCTGGCAGCCTCTTTCTCAGTTAAAACCCCCATTTGTGAAGAATAAAGTTGGTTGTATAGGAGGGATGAAAAGCAAGCTCTGGGCTCCTGCCTGAATGAATCAATCAGGCTCAGTTGAAAAAAAATTTTTTTCCAATCATTTGAACATTGGAGGGCGCAAGACTGAGTCATTACCATATGGGAATACAGCAAATGATTGGAGCACAAAGGGCAAGCTCTCATGAAGCCAAATGCTTTGCAACCTCTTGGCAGGGAAGAGAGGACACCTGGACATGCCTCCTCCTGGGTGAGAGTGTTGATCTGGCTGGAGGAGTGCTAAGGGCTCAAAATGTCATTTTTGATCTTCAATGATAATTTCATGCTCCAGTGTTGTTGTTTTGGTCATCTCCATAGAAGATGGAGACGCCTTGGCAGAGGAGCTTTGGTCGGGCACAGGGGTAGGAGATCCAGGCAGGGTTGATGAGGCAGGAGATGGGGTAGAACCAGGGATGCAGGTGACATGATTCGACTTTCCATCTGCGTGAATGATGATAGTGTTACTGTCGGTGGGCTTGCCAAAGTGGACCAAATATAAGACCAGAACAACAAGCGCTGTGGCAATTAGACAGGCCAAAAGACACACCAGAAATGTTTTCCAGAGTGACCATGGTTTTGCTGTAACCTGCAATGAATTATGAAAAGTGAATATTTCAGCAAATGACATAGTGACTTAGGTAACTGATTTCAATTAGAATAAGGCTAACCTGTTTCATTACTCCAAATGCTATAATTTAAAGTACAGTTTATCAGCTGTCTCTTTCTCTTATTCCCTCCCTCTCTCTCTCTTTATCTCTCTTCTCACACACACACACAACTTGTCCACAAGTCCATGAGGACAGAAAGTTCCCTCTGAGTTACCCCTTTGTACTAAAGCAATAAGGCATCATCTCAAATGCAAATAGATTGCCTTTGGAATATATTACTGTTATTATCAGCTACTAATATCGCAATATAAATCAAATTATCTAGCTAGTCCTCATGGTTAAGAAAATTTTGAAAACGCATATCAAAACATTTAGATTGGTTATCTTTGAGTGATGGAAAATTGCAGGTGTTCTTTTGCTCATTATTATCTCCTCTTTTCATATTACATATTGAAATTTTATAATTAGAAAAATATTTTTTAAATACATTTTTATTTCTTAAACATACATACGAGGACTTTCATTGAGCTTGGAAAGACATCAAAATACAAAATGTATTAGCTCTGGTATGGGTAGGGTCTTCAAGGAATAGAATGAAGCCCTGACAAACTGTTGGGGGTTGTGGGTCCCAGGTGTCACCAGAAGCTTGTGGACAGGCAGCACAGGAGAAGTGGGGCCAGTGAGGGGTGAAAGGACATGAGAGCCCAGCAGAGTTTGTAGAGCAGGGCCTGCCTTCCCCATTTCACCAGTGGTCCACGGACTGCTAAAGACTCCCCACCTACTCCCAGTCCCAAATCTTACCCACTGCGGCTGGAGGGTCACAGTGGGTAATCTACAACAACAGCGGGTTCCTTCATTCAAACAGTATGGATTTCTGGGCAACTGCAGAGAAAGACATTTTAAATAAATAAACAAGCAAACAAGTCTTATTTTAAAGATGAAGAAAGTTTTATCTGGGAACATAAACAAATGAAGCACATATAAATGATGTGAATCGAACATGTATTAAATGAAGAACCAACCAAGTTCTAGAAGAATCTGAAACTCTAATAAATGGTATGATAGGAATTGTACAAATACGTTTTTCCCACCAAGTGATCAATGAAGAAAAAATAAAATAATTGATTCAATAGGTGCCCAAGGATCATTTTCACAAATTTCAGCATTCAGTCTTGACAAAAGCAGACAAACAATACAAATCTCAAAGAACTACAAATAAAATAGTAATTCCCAAATGTGACAAGGAATGTTTACCTCAAAACACTGACTAACATCATATTTAACAGTGAGACATCAGGCACTTTCCTTTAAAGTCAGGAGAAGTGAAGAACGTCTCCTAACACCAATAGTAGGTAATGTTTTTCTAGAAGTTCTCATCAGTATGTGTGAATAACGGAAATGTGAAGATAAAATTAACATTTTTTTCTACATCATATGACTGTTTACAAACAAGATCCCAAATAATCAACCATACAATCTCTCAAAAGGAATAAGAACTCATTAAATTGGCTGATTATAAAAATATGAAAAATATATGTAACAGCACTTATTTTCTGTGTGTGTGCATGTCCTAGCAACTGCTATTCGTAGTAATAAAGCAATATAAAATGGCCAAGCATATCAAATGCTATAGGACTTATATAAAGAAAACCACAAAACTTTACTGAGGAACAAAAAGACAACTTTGATAAATGTCCTCATAAAAAAACTTCAGCAGTATAAGCTTTCACATCTCTGAATTTTAATTAATATCATTATGGGATTTGGGGAGGAAAAACTTAGGTAAATTGACAAAAATTTCACATGGCAAAATAAAGCAATTATAAGAATAAAATTAGTTTGGATGGGAGAGAGGACAGGAAGCAAAATATTAGCAGTGATTTTTTTTTTTTTCTGGGCGGGATCATGGGTGATTTTTTCTTTTTTCTTTGTTATTGTCATATTTTCCAAATGCTCTAAAATAAGCAAATAAACTCAGTAATTGTAAAAAAAATTTTCTACCTGTTGTTTTGGGGGATCTAAGAAGTTATAGACTGTCAGATTACAAAAAGAAAAAAAAAGGGAAATCCAAACATTCCTTTTTATGGTTTCAGAAGTCAGTTTCACTATTTGTGTTTTTTGTTTGTTTTTGTTTGTTTGCTTGGGTTTTTTAAGCTAGATTATCTAATCATTTGGCCTAGTGGAATAAATTGTATAGATTTTGGCATGTGGGGAAATAACATAACTCACATTTTATTTATAATGAAAAGGAGAAGGAAATAAAATGATGTATACATGCTATTAAAGCAATGACATTTTGTAACTTCCCTGAAATATGAGTCATCCTATAAATGAAGTTTATGACAGTCTAGTTGTTGAATCCCAAAAGTGATCACAAATATAACCTTCAAGTGGCAAAACAATTCTTTTATCAAGTCTATCTTTCTATTTATTTCTTCTGATTCATCTCTTGGTTCTACAAACTCAGGTTGATTTAAAATTCATTTTTCCTTATTATGAACGTAGTAGTAAAGTTTTCTGAAAAGTAGTTTCTTATAATGAGATTATAGGGGTGCCTGAGTGGCTCAATCAGTTAAGCTTCTGCCTTTGGCTCAGGTCATGATCTCAGGGTCCTGGGATGGAGCCCCACATCGGGTTCCCTGCTCAGCAGGGAGCCTGCTTCTCCCTCTCCCTCTGCTCATGATTATCTCTCTCTCTCTCTCTCTCTCATTTGCTCACTCTCTCTCTCAAATAAATAAATAAAATCTTTTTTAAAAATAAGCTTATATATGAGAAATCTGAGTTCTATTTCTGACTCTGCCATTGGCTAAGTGGACTCTTAATGTTTCAATTCCCTGATGTGTAAAATGAAGAGATTTGTTTGAATGAGGAATGAGACCCCATACACGTTCTAAGAAATATGATTTTATATTACTAGAGTAACACATTTGCAGCATAAGTCTCCTCGTGAGACATTTTCCATACATTACTACTTTAAATACACACAAATAGGCCAATGAGAATAAATATTTTCATTGGATCAAATATATAATAATAAATAATAAAATAAACATAAATAAATAATAAATAATATTAATGTGTGCTATAAACAACATTCCAAATAATTTACTAAAAATTTTGTCTACAAGTACCTTATTATACAAATGTCAAAATTCAGGCAAAATATAAAAATTTAGGCAAAAAGTCTAATGCACAATTCCCAAATGATATGAAAAGCAGTATCTGGCATATTAAATAACCCCCCTCAACACTTGTGATTACTGGTAATAACATCTAAGATTCCTTTCGTCCTATAATAGCAAAATCAGAAAAACGCAACCTAACTTTCTTGAAGTGTTACATGTTAAATGTTGAAAGCAACACTATGAGACAGGAAAGCAAGGCGTTGGTACTCACCAGCTCTACTGGACTCTGTTCAATATCCACAGCATGATGCCGGTCACCATGCATTCTGAGGGTGCTGGTATCTCAAATGCAACTCCAGAGATGTCTATACTCACTTTGTGTATGAGAAGTTGGAAAATCCTGGATTTATGTTAAATTAATAACTGGATTTATTCAATCTGGATTATGTAAAACAATAATCATCTATTTTCCAAAAAAATTTCCAAATTCAACCCCAAAGTACACGATGTACACTTGCTGAGGAAAAACAAATAGAAAAATTTGCTCCCTTCAGAAAAACAACATGCAGAAAGCTATCTCAGCTGTAAGAATGACTCCAGGATTCTGAGCAGATAAAAACCCTTGCCCTCCTTATCTCACACAATTTATTTAAATCACGAAAACTTGATTTCTCATGGGTTAGGAATTTAGCTTTTGTTTCTTAAAAAAACCCACACAGCCACTCCTTGATTATGAACATTACAGAATATTCTGTGGCTAAGCAGAGGGATTATGGTAATGACTAATTTCAAAATTTTCCAGAAATAAAAAAATATTGAGATTACAGGGTCACGATTGATTTAGGTGAATGGTGAATAAAATCTATGGTGCTGTTGAAGTCAGTGGCTATACTGAGATGGACAAGGGAAATAAAAACTTACTAAAATGGTTTCAGCCAAAAATCAAGATAAAAATAGGAAATAAGTATACTTCATTAGCTCCTGATTGTATGAATCAAGGATTATCCACGGTAAATCTGATCTGCTTCTATGTAAATTTGTGTTGTTTAGGCTATGTAATGATGTCACCACTTCTTATGAACCCCAACCTTTTTGATGAGCAAGAACTAGAAAAGAAACAATGTCTTTGGTACCTTTCCATTTCTCCCATGGAAAAGTTCACATGATACAGCATGCAAAACTGAAGTGATGTTTTACATCAATCTGAGAATTAATGCTCCCTGGGCCTTTGACAATGTGGCATGCAGTATGGAATGGAGAAAAAAATGACTTTTTAATCCTTCTTAATCATGCATTTCCTGTAAGCCAACAACTTCCAGCAGGGAGGCTAATGACATGAATTTCCAAAATATTAATAAATTTATACATATCCTAATTCAAAAGCAGACATGTCTTATTGTGTGATAAGTAGATTCATGAAAAAAAAAGTATGTAACGAATTCCAAACCTCTGGACTTCTCATTAAGCAAATATTAAATGACTTATAATTAAATTTATTTAAATTTGTTTTGTATAAGTAACTGTTTCATAGTTTTGTATGTCAGCAACAGATATTCAGGAAACTAAAAACCTAAAGAGATATTTAAAGAACATTTTCAAGTATCTAGAAATAAATCTACTAATAGAGGTGTACTACTTTTAAATGGAAAAAAATTATGAAATTTAAATGAGCAAACCATCATGAAATCCTAAATAAATATATGGCTAGCAGCATCATAAATTGGTAAGACAACTTGAAAAGCATTTGATATTATCTAGTAAATTTGAAGATATTCATATACTATATGATCTAACAATTCCACTCCTAGTATGTTCCCAGAGGAAACACACATGCGCACACACACACACGAATGTTTATAGTAGCATTATTTATCAATTTTTTGAAAATGCCCCAAATTCACATCAACAGCAGAATAGATAAGTAAATTGTGATATATTTGTACAATAAAATACTTTCACCAATGAAAATGAATAAACTATTACTAAACACATCAAATCTATGATTCTGACAAATAAAATGTAGTGGGAAAAATAACAGACACATTAAACTAAATTGTCTTGTTTAGAGATACATTCATAAGTGATACATCCATTTTTTAAAAAGCAAGGAAAAGATTAACATAAAATTCATAATAGTGGTTACGTCTCAGGGGAAGGAGAAAAGCAGAATTGGGGCTGGATACAATGTGGAGGGACTCAAGAGGGGCTGGAAGTATCCTACTTTTGACCTGAGTGTGATAACATGGGTGTTCATCTTATAAATAGGCACCAAACATGACAATTTCTCTGTGTATGATATAAGTTAAAAGTAAGTACTTATTGAGATACGTTGGAGAGCTCTAATAAAATTCTTTCTGATTTTTTTCAATACCCTCTCTTTCCTCTGAGTTCTTAACAAGTCTCTGACAGTAACGTGGAAGCTCCATTTGCATTTTGGCTAGGCTTGATGCCTGAAATCTGTAGTTTCAAGGCCTGATGTCACAGAAGTAAACCATAAAATAAACTAGTTGCTGTACCTGTGGCCTGGTTAAAAAAGAGAGAAAAAAATCCAGTTGCTTTATGGTAATTAAGGTTGAGGTTTGTCTAATGATGGTGCCCTCTTTCAACACCAGCCTAAATAGCTTCTTACCCTGGGGTTTAGTGCCTCACTTCATGAAAGGTGCTCAGGCCACCGGACTTTGGTGCCTCTCAGCAGGGAACAAGTCACTGCTGGGGCGTCACATTCTTTGTGTTAATCATTGTGCACCAGTGAGCTCATGCACAGCCTCTGTTTTGTTTATTTGTTGGTTCTGCAAGTATATTAATTATTATCGATGCTCAGACTTGAACCTAAACCTTCAGTTTTATGGTCTGGTCTAAGCATTCATGACCCAAGCCCTGTAGGTTTGATTTCCACCCTGACCATCAAAGATTGAAATATTACTCCCCAGAGAAAGGAACAAGCGCGTAAGTCTGTCGCTTTTGCCCAGCTACTGAATGCTGGTTACTCAGCCAAGATCACAAAGCGCTAGAGCGTAGCAGCCAGCCTGCATCTGGATTTCTGCGGACACTTGCTGGGCTTCTTTTGCTTTATCCACAAAGGAAAATGGAGAGGCAATTGCTCGGAATCCTTAGAAGAACTGAAGAGATTGTTTCTCGGTTCTGTTGTAATGGAAGTTGATTCCTATGTCAATGTTAATTGACATTTGTGCTTCTTCTCGGCTCTGAAGATCAGATAGAAATCAAAAAAAAAAAAAAAAGAAGAAGAAGATCAATTTCGGGATTCTCTCCTGTTGCTATGGAATCCCCAATAGGGAAATGTAGAATTCTGAGAAAGTTATCTAGAAGCTCAGTAGAGTATGAAAAAAAAATTGATAGACCAAAATAATAGAAGTTAAAACACCCTAAAATAAACGAAGTTTTGGTGGTGGTGGTGTTGTTTTTAAAGCTTTTATGTATTTATTTATTTGAGAGAGCGAGAGAGAGACATTGAGCATGAGCAGGAGGGCAGGGGCAGAGGGAGAGGAAGAAGCAGACCCCTTGCTGAGCAGGGAGCCAGCCCCACGTGGGGCTTGATCTCAGGACTCCGAGATCACGACCTGAGCAGAAGGCAGACCCTAAACTGGCTGAGCCACCCAAGTGCCCCATAAATGGAGTTTTATGATACATACATTATATGTATATACTAAAATATATATGTACTATGTAAATATATATAAGTATATATATACTGAAATGTTAACAATTATACATAAATTTATATATTAACTATATATTATATATAAATATATAGACAACATATATTGATGTAAGTGTTCATATATACTAAAATATACAAAATTCAATGCTTCTTTGTGAAAACATTTTTCTCTAATCTCATAAAAGCAAACACTTACGTGTCCAGGACTACAATAGGTACATAAAGTACTTTAACCTTCAAAAATGCCCTATGAAAAAGTATTATGGCCATATTACAGATGAGGAAACTAACCCTCAAGGAGTTTAAGAAATGTCCTTCAAGTTGCAAAACCAATAGTTGCTGCATAGCAGAAATTCAACCCCGAATCTAAGTCAAAAACCCATGTAGAACCGGAAAATTGATTCTTCAGATGGAAATCGAATAAACAAATCACTTAGTAGATGAATACTCTGATGTAAATAAGATATGAAGTAACATACATGAATTGCATTCATTTATGATTTTTTGGATTTCTTTTGTACTTCAGTTTTAAAACAATGTTCTATGACTATTTAAAAAAAAAAAAGCATCCACCAGAAGAGATTCATCCTTCCATTATAATACATTAACTTTAGTTTCCATTACTCACTCCCCTCAATTTACTATCTTCTCTTATCATTTTTTCCATTAGGTTATGAAACATCTGATTTCATATATGTCTTTCCAATTAGAAAAGTAATATAAATATAAATATTTATAAATAAATAAAAGTAATATAAATATAATATAAAGGTAATATAAATATATATAAATATAATATAAATATAAGTATATTTGTAAAGTATAAAATAAATTTAAAAAGTGATATAAATATAAATATATAAAGTAATATAAATATAAATATACATTTTGAAGATAGTTCAGAAATTAGAAAATAATTGTTTATCCACTATTGAAATGTGATGGATTCCATACAGACTTTTTTCAATGCATATCTAAAGATACTTATTCCTTTCTGTTTGGTTTTGTGTGTTTTATTGATCACATAACAGTCCATTACATGAAAGTAAGAGTTTATTTAACCATGTTTCCATTGCTGAAGTATTCAGGTTGTTTCTCTTTTACTGATTCAATATATTTGATTTTGAAAAACAGTTTTTTCACAATTTGTGATTTTTTTTTAGGTTGCAATCTAGAAGTAGAATTAATTAGATCAGAACTCAATAAAAATTGCCAAATTGTCGAAGAAAATTGTACCAGATTACACTGTCACTAACGATGTCACAAGATGGGGGCACCTGGATGGCTCAGTCAGTTAAGCATCCAACTCTTGATTTCAGCTCAGGGCATGGTATCAGGGTCTTGGGATCAAGCCCAATATCCAGCTCCACACTCAGCAGGGACTCTGCTTGAGACTCTCCCTCTGACCTTCCCCCTGCTCACACTTTATCTCTCTCTAAAATAAATCAATACTGTCTTTTAGGGAAAAAACAAAACAATGTCACAATACAGCCCTACTCCCTACATTCTCCTTGCTTGACCATTTCCTCAGTCTTGGCTAATCAGGTCAGAAAAAAAAGTGTGTGTGTGTGTATGTTGACATTTCCTTTGTTTCATAACTCTAAAATTAAAGATATTAATAACCACACTTACATATTATTCAGTATTCATATTTATAAAGCATTAATATTTATATATTCACATGTGTTTATTCATGTTCATATTTATGTTTATTCATGTTTCAGGCAATTCAACTATTATGGTTCAGTACTCCTTTTTCTAGTGAACATCATATGTATCAAGATACCAATGACTTGGGGCACCCAGGGGTCTCAGTTGGTTAAGCATCAGCCTTCAGCTCAGGTCATGATCTCAGGGTCCTGGGATCGAGCCCCACATCGGTCTCCCTGCTCAGCGGGCAACCTGCTTCTCCCTCGGCCTGTCTCCCATCCCC